TGTCGTGACCCTGTGTAGGTTCTGCAGCTCCTTCACGCACACTTAGTGTCCTCTTGCTCATCAATGGCACAGTATCCTCACTGTTCGCCTGTTCGTCGTCCGATGCCGACACTACACTCGCCTCAGGCGGCAGTTGCGACATTCTTTTCCTACATGCGGAACATACACGGTCACCTTCTTTTACCATCGACAGGTATTTCTCAATCATTACTTTAGACACATCCCTCAAGTCCTTCAGCTTCAGTTTGTCATGGCATTTGAAAGGATTTATACAAAACTTACGAAACTCCCCCTTTTTACAAGTAAAATCCATTATTTCATTCAAAATTTTACTTTTTTTGAAATAACAGAAAATATTCACTTTCGTTTCTCAGAAAATGCTGGATACCAGTCAAACATACACTGGACCCCAGGCTCAACCATGCAGACTCAACCCAGGTGGCATTTTCAAAAGCATTTTTGGGCATGATCCCATTTTCATATTTGGCATACAGGTGGATGATATATAGAACATGATTTTGAGAAAAAATTGGGGTCATCGGATTTTCTGCCCGTACAGGGTCAAAAGTCAAGGTCAAAGAAATAAAAAGAAAATTTGAAAACATTATCTGATAACATCGTGTAATACATCAAATAAAAGGTCTTGATTTTCTGATCATTTTGGTACCAACTTTATGAAAATCGGACGATTAGGAGGAAAATTATACATTATAGCTGTTGCAAGGTTTTTGGCCCACCGGATTGACCCAAAATTTGGTCGGCCCAAAAAACGTCATTTTTGGGTCGGTTAGCCTGAAGTTTGGTTTTTACACTTTTTTCATCCCACCTCACCATTAGACATCAAATGAACGAAATCTGAGATGACTTGTCATTTTTCGGTCGGAAAGTGTGTACACTTGATGTGGAATGCCCCAATAGTCTCGAACAGTATATCTGGTCAATCGAGGCTACCCTTCGTTTCGATTAATTCCTGGTAGCAAATTTAAAATACGAAACAATTTGTTAAATTTCTTAACTTGGCAAAACTCGTCTTGGGCAATTTAACGACTATTTCACGAACCTCTGTAAAAAAATACCGAATTGAAAAATAAAGATAGGTTGCTAGGCAACGAAACATACGCCCACAACAGCTAAATCGTCCGGGCAGACAACAAGAGTTGTTGCATATTTTTACTTTTTTCAGTAATGAAACATTTATAATACACTAAAATCTGATTAAGAGCAAAAACTCATGAAGTAATTATCAGAAAACCATTAGAATTTGTTTTTTTTATAAAGTTCTGCCCCATGCTAACGTTTTGTATACAAAACTTTTAATATCATGGATTTAGTGTTCAAGACATAAAAATTCATTGAAAATCAATATACTTGTTGGTCTCAAGATCTTAAACTCTGTGTATCAATCTGAAGTCAATCGGATGATAACTTTAGCCTTTAGAGCGTCACAAAGTGATCAAGGACCATAACTTTGGCAGTAATTATCGGAAATCATTGAAAATCAATAGGATTCTTTGTCTCATGACCTTAAACACTGTGTATAAATTTAAAGTCAATCGGATATTAACTTAGGCCTCTAGAGCGTCGACAAGATTTTTCAAAGTGATCAAGGGCCATAACTCTGGCAGTAATAATCGGAAATCATTGAAAATCAATAGGATTCTTTGTCTCATGACCTTAAACACTGTGTATAAATTTAATGTCAATCGGATATTAACTTTGGCCTCTAGAGCGTCCACAAGATTTTTCAAAGTGATCAAGGGCCATAACTCTGGCAATAATTATCGGAAATCGCTGAAAATCGATAGGCTTCTTCGTCTCATGACCTTAAACACTGTGTATAAATTTAAAGTCAATCGGATATTAACTTAGGCCTCTAGAGCGTCCACAAGATTTTTCAAAGTGATCAAGGGCCATAACTCTGGCAGTAATAATCGGAAATCGCTGAAAATCAATAGGCTTCTTCGTCTCAAGATCTTAAACACTGTGTATAAATCTAAACTCAATCGGATATTAACTTTGGCCTTTAGAGTGTCCACAAGAATTTTTGAAGTGATCAAGGGCCATAACTCTGGCAGTAATTATCGGAAATCGCTGAAAATCAATAGGCTTCTTCGTCTCATGTCTTTAAACACTGTGTATAAATTTAATGTCAATCGGATATTAACTTTGGCCTCTAGAGCGTCCACAAGATTTTTCAAAGAGATCAAGGGCCATAACTCTGGCAATAATTATCGGAAATCGTTGAAAATCGATAAGCTTCTTCGTCTCATGACCTTAAACACTGTGTATAAATTTAAAGTCAATCGGATATTAACTTAGGCCTCTAGAGCGTCCACAAGATTTTTCAAAGTGATCAAGGGCCATAACTCTGGCAGTAATAATCGGAAATCGCTGAAAATCAATAGGCTTCTTCGTCTCAAGATCTTAAACACTGTGTATAAATCTAAACTCAATCGGATATTAACTTTGGCCTTTAGAGTGTCCACAAGATTTTTTGAAGTGATCAAGGGCCATAACTCTGGCAGTAATTATCGGAAATCGCTGAAAATGAATAGGCTTCTTCGTCTCAAGACCTTAAACACTGTGTATAAATTTAAAGTCAATCAGTTATTAACTTTAGCTTCTAGAGCGTCCACAAGCAATTGTGGATGCCGGACGGACGGACGGGGGCGACGACAATATACAACATTTCAATGTGGGCGTATAAAAATAGATAATGCAAAATGAACTATTGAAATTTTCATTAAATTACTTTATTCTGAGCGACGATATCAGCCTTTGAAGGTTTGACAGAATGTCATCACCGTACTGGTTGTTCGAGGCTGAACCTCGCTTTACCATTTTTCAATTAAAACATTAAATGACCGAACTGTTCTAACCTACTTAAATATGTTAATAAATGTCTAATGAATAGTTTATATAACATATAAGGCCTAAAGAAAGACCTGCAATAGTTCCTTCTACTGACGGTAACACTAGAAATAGAAAAGAACTTAGGTATCAAATGACATTATCTTTACTTAAAACACCTGTTAGGATCACAATTTATGCATGTCCCTTCCACGCTTCTGTACAATCGAAATCTTAATTTGTTCAAATGAGATAATTAATTCGTTTCAATGAGATAATTAATTCGTTTCAATGAGATAATTAATTCGTTTCAACGAGATACTAACTCGTTTCAACGAGATACTAACCTTTTAAACGAGATAATTAATTTGTTCAAACAAGATACTAATTCCTTCAAACAAGATACTAATTCCTTCAAACGAGATACTAATTCCTTCAAACGAGATTATTAATTCGTTCAAACGAGATAATTAATTCGTTCAAACGAGATACCAATTCGTTCAAACGAGATACTAATTCGTTCAAACGAGATACTAACTCGTTCAATTGGATTAATATTATTTTTTTTTCTTTGGCACTAATGGGCCTTCGTACTCTTGGGAATGATATTGTAATCAACATGTAAGATAATCTCAACTATATTCATTAATGATACTGCATATAGATACAGTGTATTCATGATTGGATAAGAGGCGTGACCCAATTTTATTACTTCGTGTTTGATTCCTGAGGTAAAATAGTACCATGTATTTCCGGACTAACAATGACATATATCTACATAGATTATCATGCCATTTGAGGCATTTTAATGTATCTGTATCAACCGATATATACTCTTCAAAAAAATTAGGGGATATTCAGAAACAATACAAAACTGCGGAAATGCACTGCTGTTTTTATTAGAGGTAACCAGTGTATGTTAATAACAGGCCTTTACGTCAGATTTCTACAAGCATATATTAAGTACATTTATATCTTAAATGATAAAATACATTATTCTATATAAATGGTGAGTCGCAGGGTTCCTACTATACACAGATCTAAGTACATAAATCCATCAATGGGGAATCGTTATGGAGGCAATCTGTTAATTCTTAAAAAGATATTTCCATTTATTTGTGTATAATTCTGGAGATATCTCAATCTCCATTTTAGCATGCTCTACTAAAAAGCTTTCATACTTATTAATGTTGAGCATTTCGTTTCGTAGTTTAGCCCGATATATATAGAATTTAGTTAAAATAATTACATGATTAATGAAAATCCATTCAGTATTACTTATATAATTTGATTTGTTAGTTAGACCAAGGTGTATTATATGTGTTTTTATATTTATCTTTATATTACCACGATCTAGGATAGTATGAAGATGATTCCATATTATTTGTGAAAATGGGCAAAGGACAAAGAGATGTTCTACATTTTCTATATTAGATTCACAGAAAGTGCAGAGTGTGTTATCAACTTTTCTAATTTTGAATAATTTATCATTTGTGAATATAATCCTATGGAGATATTTGTATTCAAAACTCCTCAGTTTTGTTCTAAGACATACAGTGTTTATTATTTTGAATATATTTTCTACGTCTAAATCACTTAACAGGCCTATTGCCTACACATGAACATAAACAGTTCATATGGGCGGCTTATCTGACGGCCCCATTTCACTGGCAAAGAGATACACCGTCAAAAGTGAAAATGGACGTTTTTGATTTTTGTCTTAATAATGAGTAATATTGCTCCACCAATCCTCAGACATTCAGCAATTATCGTGGCATGCTCCTAATCAACCGTCCAATCACGATTTGTGCAATCTAACCCACTCCTCTTGCAGTGCCACGGCCAATTCTTGCAGTGTTGTCGGTTGACGTCGATGAACACATCTCCCAATCAAATTAAACGTAACACACTAAAGCAAAGATACACTAAACAGTAAATCTTATGCAAGAACCGATAGTTCTTCATCTGTGAACATATTCTCAAAGCATGTCAAGTGTCCATGACTATTTATCATATCAAAACCTGCATAGGTGTTTGGATTTCAATATCCCATACTTTTTTTGACGAGTATATTTCACTGTGGATATCTGATATCGGTAAAACTGATAGGTGCCATATTGGACCATCACTATTTTTTTTTTAATACTTACCTTACTGAGACAGAGATATGTGACAAATGAAAGAAGAGGGGCAGCTAAAGAAAAGATCAATAAATGCTTTCTTATTCTAGATCTCTCAAATCCTGCATGAAGCAAAAATGACACTAAACCAAATGCTGCAGGTGACTGAAAAAAAAAAAAAAAAAAAAAGAAAGGGAAAAAAAGATCTGTTTCCAGGCAACAAAACATACACCAACAGCAGATACCTCGTCTGGGCAAAATCTTTTCACGGTATAATATCGTTAATGAAATTCTGTAGACTTATGGGCGGTACAACATTGCTTTTTATGATTTATCTCCAATATTTCACCCTGTGGTATTATTTGAACCAATAGCTGTCTGGACATACAATGTCTGACGTAAATAACTGTTTAATCAGCTTCTCACACTGTAACTGAAGCCGCTATCTTGCTAATAACACGATTTTATAACAAATGGAAATAATTCATTTTTGTAAGCTTGACAACCATAGCAGGATTAAGAGGCGTGTACAGGTACATTAATAGTTGTGTCTTTACTGCACGCTAAAGCAATTCTATGTAAAGTCAACTTCAATGTTCAACTGTACCAAATTGTTCAGTCCCTCCTACGTCATATAGTTGATTTTGTCATATAGTTGAATTTATTCAGAAAGTTATAATTCGATATGTACGAAAATAGAAAGGAACCAAGATATTTGGGTTATAAACATGCATTTCAAGTTTCATCAAAATCAGATAAAAATTGTGACCTCCAGAGGGTCCACAACCCTGATACATTTGCGAACGAGGGGCGGCCATTTTGTCCGTCAGTTTCAGTCTCATTTTTACAAAATTCGAACTCAACCATCCTTAGAGTGAAACGGTGCTATGTTCAAACGGTTTTTTAAATCGGATAAAAATTGTGACCTCTATGGGGTCCACAAGCTAACCAGCAGCTGCCAGGCAGGATACGCCCACATTTTCGAGAGATGGATAGAGAACAAGCTAACAAGAAAGTGATTTTTCCTACAATCATGGGCCATAATTCAGGAAATTACAATTCGATATGCGTGAATATTGAAAGGAACCGAGATCTTTGGGTTATAAACTTACATTTCAAGTTTCAACAAAATCAGATAAAAATTGTGACCTCTATAGTGTCCACAACCTTGATATACCATACTTTTACACTATTTGAAAACGAACGGCGGCCATTTTGTCTGTCAATTTTGGGCCGATTTTCACGAAATTCGAACTCAGTCGTCTTTAGGGTGTAATGGTGATATAATAATACGTTTTTTTAAATCGGATAAAAATTATAACCTCTGTAGGGTCCACAAGCTAAAAACGCGATTTTTCGTACAATCAGGGGCCATAATTCAGGAAGTTACGGTCCGGTATGCGCGAATATCGAAAGGAACCGAAATCTTTGGGTTATAAACTTACATTTCAAGTTTCAACAAAATCGGATAAAAATTGTGACCTCTATAGTGTCCACAACCTTGATATACCATATTTTTACGCTATTTGAGAACAAACGGCGGCCATTTTGTCTGTCAATTTTGGGCCGATTTTCACGAAATTCAAACTCAGTCGTCCTTAGGGTGTAACGGTGATATAATAATACGTTTTTTTTAAATCGGATAAAAATTATGACCTCTATAGGGTCCACAAGCTAAAAACGTGATTTTTCGTACAATCAGGGGCCATAATTCAGGAAGTTAAAGTCCGATATGCACGAATATCGAAAGGAACCAAGATCTTTGGGTTATAAACTTACATTTCAAGTTTAAACAAAATCGGACAAAAATTGTGACCTCTATAGTGTCCACAACCTTGATATACCATACTTTTACACTATTTGAGAGCTAACGGCGGCCATTTTGTCTGTCAATTTTGGGCCGATTTTCACGAAATTCGAACTCAGCCATCCTTAGGGTGTAACGGTGATATAATAATACGTTTTTTTAAATCGGATAAAAATCATGACCTCTATAGGGTCCACAAGCTAAAAACGCGATTTTTGGTACAATCAGGGGCCATAAATCAAGGAGTTACGGTCCAATATGCTCGAATATCGAAAGGAACCAAGATCTTTGGGTTATAAATTTACATTTCAAGTTTCAACAAAATCGGATAAAAATTGTGACCTCTATAGTGTCCACAACCTTGATATACCATACTTTTACGCTATTTGAGAACGAATGGCGGCCAGTTTGTCTGTCAATTTGGGCCGATTTTCACGAAATTCGAATTCAGCCATCCTTAGGGTGTAACGGTGATATAATAATACGTTTTTTTAAATTGGATAAAAATTATGACCTCTATAGGGTCCACAAGCTAAAAATGTGATTTTTGGTACAATCAGGGGCCATAATTCAGGAAGTTACGGTCCGATATGCGCGAATATCGAAAGGAACCGAGATCTTTGTATTATCAACTTAGATTTCAAGTTTCAACAAAATCGGATAAAAATTGTGACCTCTATAGTGTTCACAAGCTAAAAACGTGATTTTTCGTACAGACAGGGGCCATAATCCATGAAGTTTCGATCCGATACATGCCAATATCGAAAGGAACCAAGATCTTTTGGAGATAAACCTATATTTCAAGTTTCGTCAAAATCGGATAAGAATTGTGACCTGTAGAGTGTCCACAAACAAATTGTGGACAGACGGACAGGGGCGACGACAATATACGTCCACATGAAAATGTGGGCGTATAAAAACGCGATTTTTCATACAATCAGGGGCCGTAATTCAGGAAGTTAGGGTCCGATATGCGCGAATATCGAAATGAACCGAGATCTGTGGGTTATAAATATGCATTTCAAGTTTCTTCAAAATCAGATGAAAATTGTGACCTCCAGAGAGTCCACAACCCTGATACACAATATTTTGACACTATTTGCGAACGAGGGGCGGCCATGAAAATGTAGGCGTATAAAAATAATTCATTTCATTTCTTCACAAAATGGGATGGGTTATATGTAACAGGCATTGCCTGAGAAGAGCGAAGCTGATGTGATTATTGTCAAATATAAAACCTTCATAAATAAGTTTCTCAAGTGATACAAAGAATTTTAAATAATAGATTTTAAGTTAGACCTAAATTGTATGATTAATTTAGTTTGAACAAAAAAGTGTGAGAATTATTTTTATTGACGTCAAAAAAATATGACGTCATTGATTAGACGTGTAAAAGAAATATTTCTATGAGACGCGTAATCTCGCCTGGGCGATATTTCGGAGATTGGCCTGCGCATTGCCAACTTTCTTCGAACATTGACAAATTGGAGAATCCGTTTCCGGTCTGAATTTTTTTATTAATCAACAGTCTGTGGGTGACAGTTTTAGTTACCCTCCTGTCTTATGGGAAAAGAGCTTTGCTCAAGCACCACGCTTCACGTGATGCTGGAGAGCTTCGCTTTATATTATGGAATATATAACAAAGGTATTTATGCAGGTACTAAATGACGTGTTTACAGAATTTTTTAGGCAGTGGATATTTAACCGTATACAGCAAAGTATCTACTTCCGCTATTTTACCGTACATCGTTTCTGATTGGCTAATTTGTATGATGATGTCATACCTTATTCAAAATGGCGGAAAGTACAGATGTTCTGAAAATAGGAGATAAATTTGAACCCTAACCCTAACCCATTTTTCTAATCCATCAAAATGGGAAATTAAATTAAAATAATTACAATAGTGTGTTCTTAATTTATTTTCAAATTTTGGGATTAATACTGATTTTTAAGATAGCCGTATACGGTTAAATTCATCTCATGTACAGTCAAATAATCCAGGAACTGACACTTGATGACATCACTATATTCCAGCCAATCAGAAACAATGTACGGTAAAATAGCGGAAGTAGAAACTTTGCCGGATACGGTTAAATATCCACTCCGAATTTATTACAGAGATTTGCAGCATGGAATTATCGATCGACAACAGCGATGTTCTTTTGTTCGATCCCTGCATTGGCCGAGAAAGTTCATCTGGATTTTGCGACGTGGTTTCTCCTTGTCAGTGGTGCAGAACTGAGGGCCTAACAAGGACAGCTGTCTAGTCCTTCGGATGAGACGAAAAACTGGTCCTGTGTATACATTGGAATGCACGTAAAAGATCCCTTGGCAGTTGGAATTCGATATAAGAGTAGGCGATAGTGCCGCTGCCCATGCAAAATTTCCCTCATAGCACCCTGTATGGTGTATGCCCGTCTTCATTAGACCAGTATAGGAGCAGAACAGAAGGACGTTAAACCCCATTTCATTTCATTTCATTTTCTTTTTAGGCTAATATGAGTAATATGTCTGTCAAATTTACTGATGGTCCGACGTATCATCGATGCATTGTAAGTATCTATGTTAGCTCCCCATGCATCAACGAGTAAAATATTATTTGATTGATATTAGCACAGACGAGTGAATGGCTGTTTCGTCAACAAATGACATGGTTGTGATTATTGAATGTTCAAAAGACGAAATGAAATGAAATGGGGTTTAACGTCCTACTGTTCTGCTCCGAACTGGGCTAATGAGGGAATTTTGCCTGAACAGCGGCACTACAGCCTACACTTATATCAAATTCCAACTGTCAAGGGATCTTTTATATGCACGCCAATGTGTACACGGGACCTCGGTTTTTAGTTCCATCCGAACGACTAGACATCTATCTGTCCTTCTCGGGCCCTCCGTCCTGCATCACTGACAAGTGAGAACCACGCCGGAAAATCTGGGTGAACTTTCTCGGCCAATGCAGGTATCGAACACCCGACCTCCAGGCTAGCGAGCCAACATCTTACCCACTTAGCCACTGTGATCCCTTTCAAAAGACGAATCAACACAGAAATGTCATTGAAATTATTCCAATAGGTCTATTACATTTCTTACAGATAACCATATGTCATGAGAGAGTATAAAGAGCAATATTTATAACAATAATTTTGAACTAGATCTGCTACTGTCCCATGCAGATATGAAAGCTTTCATATTCATCGTCACGTGTCATGGATTATATCTTAAAAGAAAAAAGAACAAGAAAAAATAATTATCAAAATCGGTCAAAAACTTGCAGAGTTACAAGTCTAAATATAATGAGAAACATTGCTCCTGGGCAAAATATAATCTGAAAACTAAAGGGAAATTACTGAAACTTGTA